GAGATCAAAGGTTTTTATCCGAAAAAAAGTTTTGTGAAGATCAGGTTTACGATAAAATTAATTATAATAAATATTAAATTGACTTGCATTTGTTTCATCAAATCAATCTTGTTGGTGGTTGTCTGGATAATGCTAATGAAGTTTACAATCTTTGTATTCAACTTATCAATCCAAAATTGTTCAAGACAATAATTATACGGATACTATATCTGAAAAAGTCTTGCAAATTGATGTGAAAACTCTTACCGGTGAAACTATTTAGATTGAATATAAAAAAAAAAAACAAAAAAACAATGATGCTAATGAAACTGTCAAATACAAAATTCAAAGAATGAAAGGCATCCCGTCGACTAGACAGAGAATTATCTTTGATGGTAGACGATTAGAGAACGAGAAAACACTTTCTAACTATAATATTTCAAGCAATAATACATTTGCATAATCTTGACAATATTATCCCAACTGATTGTGATAAAAGTAATGAGAAAATCATTTCGTTGAATCAACGGAAAATCACATTTAAAGTAAACGACGAAAACCTGACAAAACAGTCAAAAACAACAATATTTCTTACATGTTAACTATGGTTGTATAATCAATTATTTGAGCGTAGATTCATTGGATCCCCGATATGATCATGATTTTACACACAATGATAAAGGAAAAATATTTATGCATCGTATAAAAGATGCTTTATGGGCACTTGGAAAATATGATATGGTAATAATAGATGGCTTGGAGTCGATGAAAATGCTTGGCCAGTATCGTATCATGGTACTACAAAATTTAATGCAAAATCAATTTCTGGGGATGGATATTTATTAAGCAAGGGAAAGCATTTTTCATTTGGACATGGTATTTATTCAACGCCAGATATACACGTGGCCGAACGATTTGCCCAGGAATTTATGGTTGAAGGAGAAAAATATGTGATAGTATTTCAGAATTGAGTAAATCCTGACAACTTGCATAGATTCAAGCTAAAAAAGAAACAACAAATGTGCAAGAAAGGCGAAAATATCAAGTCTTATGGAATTTAATATTAAAAAAAAACAGCAAATGTGATATTATATACAATATATTCACTTCATAGTACTATATTATTGAAATATTAATATAATATAATAAGCAAAGTTTTAAAGTGATCATAATGCATGATGATTTAATTACATGCGTAGATTGTTACATTTCATCAAATATTTATATGTACGTTGTGAAGAGGCGAAAAATTCACTGGGTCTAAATAATTCAACTACGCACTAATAAAACTAACTAAACTCTCTAACCAAAACACTACAACTAATACACCAAACCCTAATATTGGTAAGGCAACGATCGAGGCGTGGAAAGACTTGGTCCGAGTAACTAGGGTGAATTGGGTTC